TTTTTTTTTTTTTTTTTCTATCACTACAATACAATATCGAATGAAAGCTAATGAAATGATTAAAACATGGAACTTGCGTTTGTAAATAAAAGTTAACAATGAAAAAGAAGTATCATTGGCCTTTTTGCTACAATATAGCGTATTCAAACCTTTTTATTATCTAATTTTCAATTTCTTACTGTTAATGACATGCTCGTTTTGTTTCTATCCGTTTCCCTGTGATAACTCCAAAAAACTATCTTCTTTAATAAGATGCTTCTAAGTTTTTCACTCATAATCACATATATAATAAAATTAGAAGCACAGCCAATTACCATGAATATTTTTAAAACCTCCATCAAAAGTTTCAAATGTTCAAGGCTTATATTCAAATTTCCCCAGATGATGTTCAGTATATAGTTCATAGGTTCAGAGTAAGGAGTAGATCCAAGAATTAAAAAGGGTAAAATATTGAACAACAATGGGAAAATACTATCTCCACAAAACACGTGTTTGCCTTCAAAATCTATGTTAATCCAATAGATATCAAAGTCATCTATTTCATTACAATAAAGGGTAGTTAGAAATCTTCGGAATCTTCCACTGAAACTGTCTTTCGTTGGTGCTTCTATCAACTGTTCTGTGTTACTGATTAATTCTTCATAATTATTCTTGATCTTGTCATCAATTTCGTTTTTTATATACCACAGATAACCTGACCATTCAGCAGAGTATCCCACATACTCTTCAATTTCTTCCTGTATTTCTGAACTGTTAGTTACTCGAAAACATGAAGATATCTCCCTTTGTATGTTCCATTCGGAAATGAATTCATCCTCGATTCTGTGATAACATGCCAGCATTTCATATTCTATTTCTTTACCAACCTTATATGATGCTATGTTCTCATTCTGTGTATCATAAATGAATGTTTTAAAAACAGTTCCATAAATAACAATTCTAGGTAGTTCTGACAATACAAATATGCTCATAACAGACAGAATTAATACACAAGACTTCCTTTCACAGTTCGATATTTTAGCATGACCTCTGACATGCTTCCGGCGGCACAAAATTAATACAATGTAACATGCAGATGAAATCATCACTGCGATAGCTATTGTTAGCAAAATAGCGAACAAGATTGGATAAATGGTTAGAACATACTTTTCAATTGTCTTTGATGGTTTTGTCACAAAACAAGAATCTTCATTTTCGGATTTTATACTTACTACAAACATTCTTGGGATATTTAAAGCCATCGAAAATAAAAAGCATGAACAACAAACAATTACAGACTTACGATTTGTTATGTTTATTCTGCTCCATATTGGCAATGCTAGAGCTAGTATTTTCTGTATTCCAAGTGAAGTTGTCAAAAGAACAGATACGAGGTGGAAATTATCAGCTAAGTGGCTCAAACAGTAGTGCACAACGCAATACGGATATTTCAGGTCTACAAGATTCTGTGTTTCTTCAATTGAAATTTCAATTTCATATCCGTAAGTATGAGAATAGGAATCAACTACACTAGGAGAACTAGGTTTACCGATGTTTTCGTAAAACAAATTGAAAATTGGTTCCATACCGTATGTGGATAATGCAGTTATACCATCTGCAACAGCCAAACCCTGCATTAAAATTGTTGATGGTGTTCTTATTTTCTTATCAAACAAAGTCACAAACACTACAATGTTCATTACAGTTGAAATGTAACATAAAGTTGGTCCAGCTACGGTATTTAGCCCGAATGGAACTCTTGCATACAACGTGAATAACATGGTTAAATTCTACCTTAAAACTAAAAACGAAATAATTTCACTAAAACAATATTTCCAATAAACACTCAAATATTGTAAATGTCTGTGCAATTTTCTTTTTCATCATATCCACATATTTGCTGTTCCGTATTTTAATAGTACTTAAAACCATTAACCAAATTAAAAAAGAAACCCACATAATATTTGATAAAGCATTTGACTTAATTTTCGTAAATAATTCAAAGCTTTTAATCTGAACGTGACAATTATTGCTCTCCCAGGCGTACGAGGAAGTTGATTTTATGGCGACACATTTCCTCATGAACAGAGGTTTGTTTGGTGATTCATTTGTTTAAAGTATTTCAGAAATTGTGCTATGCTGTTAATATGAAAATAATGTGGCTTTCTCTTTTTTTTCACGTTTTATGTATTGATTGGTTCAAAATGTAAAATATGTCAATTAAAATGATGATAAATAAAGGCAACGGTAGTATACCGCTGTTCAATAGTCATAATTCGATTAAGCAAAAACAAATCCAGGTAACAAACTAAAACCGAGGGAAACACATCAACTAAAAGAGGAAAACAACGGAACAACAGAAACACTGAACTACAACAAAAGCAAACGCCAACATACATAGAAACTGACCGTCTGATAACAACTGCCATATTCCTGACTTGGTACAGGACATTTTAAGAAAAAATGGTGGGTTGAAGCTTTTTAACACATATCCAGTTATACTTTATATTTGAAACCGCATTTTGTCAGTATTTTAGATATATCTTAGATCCTAGCAGCGCCTGCATACGGAGTATATATCTCCCAATTGATACGATATTCCAGGGCTTGTGTTTCCTATCATGATTTCATTGATAAAGGATTGCTGCTCACAAGGAAGCTATTAAACCAAGAGTTCCAAATGGTGAAGTTGAAGTCATCCCTTCGTAAATTTTACGGACGCCATCACGAGTTGGTTGACCGTTATGGAATAACCGTTTCACAGATGATATCGGATATGTTCCTTATGTCGTAACTACACTACCCTCCTTTTTCACGAATGTGACTTACCGAATTAGACTATTTACCGGATTTGTAATAACATAAGCAACACGACGGGTGCCACATGTGGAGCAGGATCTGCTTACCCTTCCGGAGCACCTGAGATCACCCCCAGTTTTGGTGGGGTTCGTGTTGCTTAGTCTTTGGTTTTCTATGTTGTGTCATCTGTACTATTATTTGTCTGTTTGTCTTTTTATTTTTTGCCATGGCGTTGTCAGTTCGTTTGTTTTCGATCTATGAGTTTGACTGTCCCTCTGGTATCTTTCGTCCCTCTATTAGACAAATCTAAATTTAAAAAAGAGAGGAGAAAGAAGATACCAAGGGACAAATACAACCATATATTAAGAACATCAGACAAAACCATCTTCAAAAACGAAGTGAACAGAGGTGCTCTAAAAAGGTGAGCAAATCTATCCAAAAGGTTTAACTTTCAAATCAGTAATCAATGATAAATCAGAGTAAAGGAATAACAAGGCCGCCAATGTTCAAACAGAATGAAGCGTTAAGCTTTTTATTGAGATTAGTAATATATACATTAAACAATAGGAGAGTGTCAATATTCCTTACAAAAGTATCTCGCCACAAAGAATGTGTGAAATCGTACCTTGAAAGATGGAAAATAACTACTTATTTCTAGAATGAAGTGCTCCCCTTTTGTTATCTTTTTATTTTTGGCAAAATTATGTGCAAACGAATCTTTATTTATTTTAACCTGCTAAGTATGTACATTCAGTTACATATAATTCATACGTTTCAGTAACATTTAATTTAATTATTAAAATCATAGAAAGTTATACAAACATAAATAATCTTAAGTTGACAAGATGCTTATAAATGTAAACAACACTTTATAAATGTCATGCGCCAGAAGCGCTTTTATTGATTACCCTTCATCAGGAACGCTCAACGCCGAAAGATTTGAAAGCCAAGAATTTAAAAGAACAGTTGACGAGCTTTATGACAAAAAAGGACCTCAAAATAATAGCCAAACTCTGTCTGAGGGAGTTGAATTTACATAACTATAAGGTGGCACCCGTCGTAATGTTGATTAGAAGTAACAATTTGTCTTTGGACACAATTGGTATAATCCCAATTTGGAAATGACCTGATAGTAGCAACAAGTGTATCCTTATCCTGGTCATCTGTGAACCAGATATATACATAAAGGTCAACCAAATAATGACGGCGTCCGTAAAACTTCTCAAGTGATGATTCCAGCCTTACCATTCAGAACCTTTACCAGTAACACTCAATACCGAATGTTTGAAAGCCAATGATGTTTAAGAACCGAAATAGTTGAAGAGCTATATGACCATAAAGGATTTTAAAATAATAGCCAAATCAATCTAAGGCAATTTTGGCTAAGGAAGTTGAATTTACAAAACAACATGCTTATTGGAAGTAACAATTCTGTCATTTAACGTTTTCGGTGATATCCCAATTGAGGAGATGATGTGATAATGGCAACAAGTGTAATATTTCCTTGTGAAACAGATATACATATAAAGGTCAACCAAATAATGACGGTGTAAGTAATGATTCCAGCCTTACTTTTCAGAACCTTTGGTTCAATAGCTTCCTTGTAAGCAGAATCTCTGCATCAGGGAAATTATGTTAGAAAACCCAAGCACTATAATATCGTATAATTTTGGAAATATGGGGCCCATATGAAGGCGCTGCTGGAATGCTGCTTGACAGTAATAAAAGGTTCACAATAGGACAAATTTAAGTCAATTGTAAACAATATCATACCGTATTAGTTAGAGCTCATATTTACTTTAAACAGACTCAAAGGACTTAGCATTCTAATAAGAATTTATCTCATCCCAACCTATAATGTCGGTTGCAGTACTTCACAAAATATTTCATACAGTAACGTCATAAAAGTAAAGGTATATAAACTATCCTGGGAATGCCAAGAACAAACTAAACTTAATTTCAATGCAGAAATACAAAACAATAATTCGAGTCTTGCTTCAAACCATGAATTATCGAATAGATGTGTATCCACAGTAAAACAAAATGCGGTATTGATCTATGATTTATCTTTCATCAACCTTGTTGGTTCACTATCTTATATTTAATACAACTGACGTAAATTTGAATGTTTTTATCGAACGTACAACACTATAAATAAGTTTAAAAATATAGAATTGAAAATCTTTAATAGAATAAACGAGAATAGAATTATAGCAGTAAACTTTAAATATGCACGATGTTCCACTTTCATTCGATACAGCCGTAAACGGTTTGAAACTCTAAAGTGATATTACATCGCGAATTATGTCATTGGTCAATTTTTGAGCATTTTGAGCTAGAACCTCGGGGTTTGGAAAAACACGTGGCTTCGTTATCTGATATTGTTTTCCACCTTTCCAAACAGCAATAGGTATAATTACTTTCTGAATTCGTCTGGTTTGAGATCTACCATCTTCTAGGTCATGGTCAACATCTTTAATTTTCAAAACTGTGATGTCAGCTGATTTCCCAGTAGTTAGACTTCCAATGGAATTCTGCCATTTAATTGCACGTGCTGGAGTTAAAGTGGTTGCTTTTACTATTTCTATTAAAGGCATTCCAATATGTAAAAACTTTGACATAACTGTTGGAAGATCATATACTGGACCATCATGATTTCCTGTGTGTAAATCACTCCCAATTATATCTGGCCAAAATCCCGATTTCGCACAAATTTCAGCAACGGGCCAACTAAAAGCTTTCTGACCATGGCCTACGTCAAAGAGAACTCCTCTTTGTTTTGCCTCGATTACATCTGGGTAAATAGATTTCGTAGAGGCATCTATTATAGTACTTTTGTGTCCAATAAATGTGTGCGTGTAGATGTCACCTGGACGCAGATCACGTGGACAGCACAATCTGGATGAAATCTCTGAATTGAAAAAATAATATAACAATTAACCATGGCATAGTAAATGTACAATCAGAGTAGCAACCTCACGTTCATGTTCAATCAATTCTGTTCAATTTAAAGTTCATTGTTACTCGTCAAACATTCTATCAAAATAAATTTAGTACCAATTTTTGGACTATCAAATTGATGCATTGTTACTACTGTACCCAAATTTTTGACATTTTTATATATTAGAGCTTTCTTACAATTTGACGAAAGGTACGTACGCCTGACGCATCATACGTAAGACTCGTTTTAGGGATCTTTTATTTTGACATATTTATGTAATTGTAATCGAAGCGTCATGAAACATCGATGGCATTTCGCCTCAATGTTTGCCTATTAAGGACCATTACACTGAATGCAACATGTAAAAAATATAATACCACCAGGGGGAAGGAGATAACTCTACAAAATTTCCTAAACATATGGTCGTCAGAAGAAAAAAATACCCTAAAAATAATAGAGTGTGCTCAACTCCACATCACCCACCCCCACCCCCCCCCCCTTTTAAAAAAATTAACTTTGTATTATTTCACCTTAAACAATACCAAGGCAAATAAATTGGCTTCTCCCTCACACAAAAAAGAAGATAAAAAAAATACTTCCTAAATTAAAAAAATTTGCAACCCTAAAAATAGTAAAATTGGGAAAAAATGACCTTAGAAATATCATATGCCGGGGCTCGTTTAATAAGTTGCAGAGATTCCCCGCTTCCCCCTGCTTAATATCCATTGTCGCCTTGTGGTGTGTCCATACACCAGAGTTAGGTTCACCTATTGAATCGTTCTTTCAGCGTATAATTGCGATTTCGTCTTAAACATTTATGAAATATTTTCCACTGGACGTTGAGCGACCAATAATCATCAATCTTCAAAGCATATTTTCTGTTTAATCGTCATTATTAATTCCAAAATATATACATGTATAGTGCAAGATTGTAGATTTATTTGCTTGATATTCATTTAGATGTTAAAATGTAGATGTACAAATAATATCTATAATTAGTTGATCTTTAATTAGAGCTCGAGAAAAAACGTCATCACAAAATCTTTTTTTCTAAGATTTATTTCACATTACTTTTTCGAAACATTGTAGCATCCTACTTGCAAATTTTTATGATCCATGTTGACGCATACTCATTAGAAGTAAAAATAATTGTGAATCTTGTCGTTAGATTTAGAATATCATACTTCAATGATTTCATTAAAATATTAATGGTGAAACACATGCTTGAACAATTCCCGTGCAAATGTGTGTAATCGTGGTTAACATAAATAACGTATCGGACGTAAGTGTATTTGAAACTTTTTTTCTTTATTTTCAGATATTAAAAGCGTGTTTTATTAACGATATGCTTAAATTTTTAAAGATTCGTTTGATTCAGAAAAAATGCTGTTTTACCAGATGGAACATTGACTCTAAGTGTTATCGTGGAAATGTAATACATGCTCCCTTTACGTTCGTTCGTACCTTTCGTCAAAATGTAAGAAAGCTCTATTATGTCTGTTCGTTTTGCTCACACTTTGTTGTCAATATAATGGAATTCTATGCGACAGTCATACAAGTGAAAGGTTTAGCTAGCTATAAAACAAGGTTTAATCCACCATTGTCTACATAAGAAAATGTCTGTACCAAGTCAGGAATATGATAGATGTTTTCTATTCGTTTAATGTGTTTCAGCTTTTGATTTTGCCATTTGATAAAGGATATTCCGTTTTGAATTTTCCTTGGAGTTCGGTGTTTTTGTTTATTTTACTTTTTACACATCTTTATCCCGAAAATTATATTCATAAGCTATGGCAGAGTCATATCAATTTCTTAACTTGATCGTACTAAATTTATTTGATAAGTCTAGAAAGGTCTGAATTGTATATTATTTGTCTTAACAGTTTTGAAGAGTACTCGACTATTTTAATATGTTTTACAATAACATTAAACGGTATCATTTTACAACAACAGATACGATTTTTTATAAAGAATGTTTCTCCTGTGATTCTAGAAGCAAACAAAAACAAATCCACATCCGAATACACATTTTGATAAGTTAAACTGACCTAAAGTAAGGATTAATTTAAAGATTGTTAACTCAATTCGATGATCCACATATAAACATTCTAAATAGAATGTAATCAAGTTTAAACGAAATTTACCATGAGTGAGGTATTTTTTAAGACTTCTTGTCTGGATATATATGAACCGTTTCGTGAAACTTGTATTTGAACTTATAGAATAACTGAAATATACCATCTGACTGTGTTGGTATTGTAGATATAGTATGATGAACCATCAGTGGAAGTCCAACTCGCTTTGATACGTCCAGCGATCTCCTAAAACAGAATTTATGATGAAGATATCATTTTCAATACCAATACCAAATAAAATGTCATTGCACAGCAATACGTGTGTCACAGTTTAATGTCAATCGTTTATATAGTATATGATATTTCGTTAGGGATTATTAATCAGGTAAACAGTAGAAGACAACGCTGCAATAAATAAGAAATCAAATTTTAACGAAAGACAATAATTAGAAGTCAAGGAAATCCGTCAAATGTTTGGACACATTTCTGATTTTTCGATTTTCGTCAAGTGCATCGGCGTTCCGTTCAGTCTTGGTGAAGTCAACCTTTTGTTGGCTTTTGATTTCTTTAATTTAAGTACGCTACAGTTCATTATAGTTTAGCGATTTGTAGGTTTGAATAGGGTTTTAATCATTCAAATAATGATATTTTTTGTAGGGTTTAAAATATGAAATTCACGATACCGAAACTTAATTTTAGATCTGCATTATAGAATTACCTGTAAGCCTCTTCTTCATTTTTTCCTCCATTAGATATTGTTTCAGAAAGTCGAACTTTTACACCAACTATTATATCCCTGTTATTTTCAATACACTTTACGCATGCGTCAACATTCACTTGATTTAACGAGTCGATTTCTCCACCTGAAACTGAAAGAAGTCAAATAGTTACTTGTATTTTGGCTACATGGTTAGACTAACATGTTTTTAAAAAAAATCAGAAAATCTACAAAGGTTCACACATGTCTTTGCTACTTGCATGATAAACTATTTCTTGTTAGCTATGTGTTTAAAAACTTACCTCCAGCAGCACACCCAGAAGAAGCTAAACCATGTTGAACTATGTGAAGAAAACATAACACTCTTGCGTGACTTTTTTCTGCTATGAATTTTCTTAAACCAGGAAATGTCGATTCTCCTAGAAAATAGACAAGGTTTGGATCACATATAATAAACATTTGGTTCTAATAATTAAAACAAATATATACATTGTGTTGATAAGATTAAGCTTAGGCTTTATCCAAAGAATTGTTTTAAAGTATCTTTATAATTCAAGGCATTTAGGTCAATAAAAAACTATTTGAAATGCTGACCTAGTAAGAAATCTTTCTATGGAACATTGACTTTTTAGAATATAGCAAAGTACTCTCGACCAATGAAATTGTAGAATTGGATGCCTCTTAATTGTAAAGAATGAATGTAAATCATGTTCTTAGAAAGGGATTATCCTATTTACAGTTCAAAACAAAGAGTTTCTATAAATGAGTTACAACTGCCCCGAAGCACATTTATCAGATTGAAAGGTTTTATCACAAAGTGATTGAAACTGACTAAAAGTTGAATTGTGAAACAAACAAAAATCTCAAAATAAGTTGAAGTTTACTGGTGCAGTAAAATTGGTACCGTGAATTTTATTATGAAAATATGAATAACTTCAAATTACTATAAAATTAAACATTACAAAGCAATGCAAAAAAAAAGAAAAAAAATCTTTCAGATAAAAAAATAACCTAAATCTTTAGCTTTCCAAAATTTGATTACTTGATCAGAGGTTGGGGAGAATAGTTATTTCCAATACAATTATTCCGATAAAAAACAGGAATTAAATTTTAAACATATTAAAAACTTTTAAGGGCATTATTTTTGAGCATTTCCCTGACATAATGAAACAGTATTTGATGTTTAAAGCCGGACCAAATTATTGGCTGTGAAATAAAAATAGTTGTAACTCTAATGTATTAATTGATTTAAACTGTAAATAAAACAGGATAATTCCTCACTAAAATATTACATGATTTATATTCATACTCACAATCAGGAAACATACAATTCATACCTTTTCTTTCTACTGTGTGTCACCTAATATCTATAACGCATTTTTTTTAAAAATATTTCCCAAATGATAAGAAAGTCCTCACATCACTAAAACTTATCCATAAATGACATGCCGAAAAAGGAAGTCATGCATCAATTATAAACATTGCACTGACAATGAAACTAATTCTTGAATAGATCATTTCAGCCTTGAGCACTTTACAATATTCTAAGTTTGTAAGAGAATGATAATCCCTTACTTCATGATAAGTACTCGCTAACGCTCGTACTTATTCATGAAGAAAGGGATTATCATTCTCTTACATATACTTAAAAAGAAGAGCAAAACGTTGTTTATATCGGTTAAAGCGAATAATGTTTTGGTACTTTTTTCTTATTTTGCATGAACGATAATTGCATCTTATATATTCCTGACTTCCAAATTGTTTGAGTTTTGGTGTTCCCTGGTAAAGGTTAAAATCTAGAATAGAGTTCAATACGCTCAAAATTTATAAAGTTTTTTTTTTCTATTTCATCATCAGTCATATTGGTCTGGTCCAGTCTTACTCCAACCTGAGCTGATAATTACTATCGTTTGAGAATGAAAGAACCGATAAAACACATACCAGAACTTCCTGCATCTACAACCGTCGTCACTCCTCTAGATAGACATCGCTCATCTGGATTAATCCCGAGAGGTGTTACATGTTCGTAGCAATGCACGTGACAGTCGATTAATCCTGGTGTTATTAAACAACCCGTTGCGTCAAACTCTGTTACGGCTTTCATGTTTAGATCTTCTCCAACAGCTTGAATTGTACCATTAGAAACTGCTAAGCTTCCGGTTAAGTCGATTCCATTTGCAGGATCAATAATTCTTCCATTTCTAATCAAAATATCAGCTTCTGTCATACTGAATGATCAAATTATTTACTGTTTTCGTTTCGTATTTCAAAACGTTATCTATACCATTACATGAACAATGATCACATATAGGTCAGTTTAATTTATCTTTCCTTATTTATTTCACAACATGTCAGCAGTTATTGAGGTAAACATGGAACATCATTATGGAGGTTTTTTATGTGTTGACATGTGGTGAAATTGTGAAGATATTTATTTTATTATAACACTATTTGATAAACTAAGCCTTCAAAAAACAATTGAGTGTGATTTCATGTAGTTTTATAAAAAGGTATTTTTGGTAAAAGGTATTTCAACACTCATTTAAAAACAGCTGCAGGGTTTTAATTGGTAAACCAGGCACGCCATTCTTCTAAATAATACATAATACTCACCAGTGTTGCTCGAATCACAACAAGTGTAAAACAAAATCAACGATGAAGTTGAAGAACAATGAAAACCAAACATTTCATAAAGTTGTGCCAAATCCGGCCATGCCAGGGGGTGGAAAAACTATTGTTTCAATAATGTTAACATTTTATAAACAGTGAGCTTCATTTTTCGCATTTGATACTAATGTTGTTATGTCGATGTTACACATAAACTGTAAGTAAGAGATACCTATATGAGGTTATTGGTCCATAAGAAGTGCATAATGCATAAAGGTCATGAAACCGCAACCGTTAACGATTAAAGAATTTCGTCAAATTATGGTTACGACATGTCGCAACATGAATATATATTAAAACACACTTGTGGCGTAAATCTATTGTTGTAACTCTCCATTATTTTCCAGGAATGGAGAGTTATTTCAGTCTTATTGTCCGTCTTTAATTAGGCGTATGAAATACCCTGAAGGAAAAATCTTTGTGATTAATACCTAGACTTTGGAACCGATGAAAACAATTTACCTAGAAGACTTGCCACAAGTACATTTGATATTTATATTTGTACCCTCTAACATTGTTTCCTATCAAAATGCAGTAGTTTTACTTAAAACCCCCTTTTGAATTAATGTTCCATATTACTGCGTATTTTTATAGGAAAAGTGAAAGAGAAGAAAATAAAAATAAAAAATGTACTTGTAAGAAGTGATTAAAAACATCAAACAAGAAATACATATGTATTTATTAAAGTTGAGCATACACGTGTTTTCTATTATGTAAACAATCACACGTGATTATGTGTCCGCATAGTGGTCATCTATTGGTGTTTATATTGGATAAACAGGTTTGTGTTTTAAATATATGATATTTCGGATTGGTCAATATTTGTCGCGTTGCGTAAATATATTGAGTATGATATTTGTTATGTAAATAGCACGGGATTTTTAAAGCGCGAATAGTTGTCTTGTTTAAGTAATTTAAGATATATGGTCATTCGAAGCTCGTATACCGTTCAGTAAGGCAGCTTAGTTTAGGTTAAGACCCCTCTCCCCCCCCCCCCCCCCCCCCCCCCCCCCCCCCCCCCCCCCCCCCCCCACCCGGATTAAGATGCTTGTATATTTGAAATGTTTTCACGCATAGATAGATAGATATTTATAATATCAGTAGGACATTGTTTGTTTGATTATTAAGATTTATATGTATATACGATTTCTGATTTTGTTTTTCTATTTTGTAGGCTGTCGTGTACTACGCAGCGGTGTTGCCGATATCATGACATCGGGACTCAATATTTTGTTTTAATAAAATTTAACAGTAAGCTGCACATGCTGGCGAGCTATTCCTATGTAACAAGTGTTTGTTTTTATTTTATAAATACTTTATATGCGTTTGAGGTGACGAATTAGAATATAACTGCACTTGTGTTCGTTGTATCGGTGTTAAGAGGACATGACGACTGAAACTAAAAGAAAAGAATATAGGAGCACTGCATATTAATTACTATACTCAGACATTTCCAACATCAAAACACAACACTGACTGAAATATTACACTTCACTTCATGGAAATATTCAATGTAATTGACAAATTGTCATCAGATTTGGATATTTTGAACTTTCCGGAATCATTGTTTTCACTATCGGTTCGTCCTTGGATAACGGAATTGATTTTCCTTTTCTGATTTTCATTTGTTCTTTTGTAATTTCTTACAGCATTCGATCTATGACCCGTGACCTCGCATATTAATTGCTCATCTACACCAGCGTCGTACATCCTAGTTGCGACAGAAGCTCGAAGCGAGTGGTTAGTGCGGTAACCACCTATACCTGCTTCCTGACAAATGCTAGCTACAATGTTAGCGAGGTTATGTCTACCAATTGGTTGATCAGCATACCAAATGTTTCCGTTTGGAATTTTCAAAGGTCTCAAGTACAACGCATCGGCTTTCCTAGGAAACGGTGGACAGTGAGAAACATACAATTCAAACAAATTCACAACGCACCTAGCTTGATTTTCGGTATTTTGATATGCCACCACAGATTTTCTTTTAACGTTTTTATGCTTGATACCTCCTTGGTCTGCCTTTGATTTTGCTTCAGTATAAATCAAACACTTTGAACCATTTTTTTCATTTATTTGAAACTGCGATGAATTTCCCCCTTTTAATTCTCTATGTTCCTGGACACATCTTAATGCAAAGTTTAAACCTATTAAATAGACTAACGTATTTAATAAATGACGAGCGTTATCAGATCCTAATGAACCACTTGCCCATAACTTTTCTTCCTCCTCCAAAGAAATTTCTTCGGCCTGTTTTTTAAGAACGCGAACTTCTGCTCGTAATTTCATTACATTATCTAGGGAATTTTTATCTGAATAAAGCTAGAATCAGATAGAAACTTATGATTATATCCAAGTGTATCCATGTATAACTGTAAACAAATAACTAGAGAATAAAGCGTATCTGGTGGATATTCAGTTCCATCCGTTTTACGAACTTCACAAATAAAGCGGGAAATGGAATAATTCAATTCACCAAGCGACATTTCAGCCAGATCTACGCGAATTGGACTAAGTCCCACATTTGGATCATTCGCCCTAATATTTCTGGTAGATTTCCATTGTTTGATTAAGGTCGTTGCCCACTTGATTTTGCTCATGGTACTGTCAGAAAACCTACAATATTAAGAAACAATAATAAATATTCAAGCAAACACGCAGCAAAAATACATATCTACTCTATATTTCAATAATATTAATCGAATATTGCAGTTGAGAGAGAGAGAGAGATCAGTAAAGACAGTTGAATTTATAAAAGAGTATGATTAGGGTAGACGTTAACGAGACAGCAACCTAACGATATAAAAAAAGGTCTATGAAGGTCAGCATACACGACTTAAAAACAAATGTCTATAAAACGAATATTTTCTAATAATGTATGAATAAAGGGAGACGTGGTGTATACACCAATGAGACAGCAACCCAACGATACAAAATAAAAGATATCTAGATAGGCGACAACATATACAGTTTTCAACAATAAACAGCTTCATATCGTCCCGAGTTTTAAAAAGTTAATAACTTAACACTAACTGTCAAAGATCTGACAATACGAAATTCCTAAAAAAAATTACACAAAAAAACCAAGAATATAGGACATGCAAATATATGATTGTTTTATGTCACTATTTATATCTAACTATAGAATTATACATTGTCGGGCCTCCGCTCCATTATTTCCCAGGAATGGACAGTTATTTGGACTTTCTCTATAACTGAAACGTGTTCTGCTGATTTTATAGTTTTCTTTCCTAAATATTTAAAATAAGCTGTTAAAGGTAGTATTACTTCTAAACCATACATATAAGAGACCTTGAGATCTATAAACACTGGACACTTTTAATTTGCAAAACACTCATTTGCAAATCCGCCGCCGCCTCTCCTTAGACCTACAGTGTCGTGTAAATAACCAAAATGTGCGGAATTACATGGGATTCAATAATTTCATTGCTTTTCTGCTGTTATTATTATATATATTTTGTAATTTGATTTAGAAAAACATGGGATTTTCAATATCCCATGGGATAAGGCAAATCCCATGGGATTGACCATTATCCCATGGGATTTTGGTTAAATCCCATGGGATTTTTTTTGGGTCCCATGGGATAATTGTAGTCCCATGGGATATTTGTTGTCCCATGGGACAAAAAAAATCCCATGGGACTATAATTATCCCATGGGATTTTTAATATCCCATGGGACAAAATAAAATCCTATGATTCAAATTATAAATATACAGTAAATAAATGTGTATGTTACAATGAATTCTGTTTGGTAGTAAATTGTTTTAAGATGAATCTTTTTAGTTGAATATCTTTTTTTTCCTTGGAAATGTTAATGCAATTATATTGTTCTATAACTGTTCAAAACTAAACTTTTAAACAACAAAGCAGATAATGTAAGTATCAATATATGTTTATTTATGAATTCTAGAACACTTTTTTGAAACACAATTTTTTCCCATTTGAAATCAATGAAAACTCTATTAATAGGCTTAACATACTAGTAGCTTTTTACTTAAATCTATTTTTTTTTCAGGATATCCCTCCAACCAAAAAATTAATAGTTTCTTATCATCCAGCATTGTGTGATCGTAATGTATAGTCCACTTTTTTGCCATTCAGCACAGAACATTGTCATTATTGTGGTTTTAATATCTTTAGATATTTAATAGAACTGCAATTCATTGGCTGAGTGATGAAAATAATAACTGATCTGACTTTTGTCTTTGAATTTATTTTGGTCTTGTTTCTGTGTTTTCTCCTTCTATTCTCAGTGATGAATTCCAATCCTTCTGAAAAAGAACCAATAAAATCCGAAGTTATGGATAATAAAAAATTGTATACATACATGTAGCAAGAACATATGATTTTCAATAAAAATAGCTATGCGGTATGGATTTTACTGATTGTTGAAGGTTGTCCAGTGTCATCAGTTGCTAACCTCCTACATCCTTTGGTCTCTGATGGAGAGTTGTCAAATTAGCAATATACCACATCTTCCTATTCTAATATTATATAACAATCAATTTATGTATTCTTCTTTATAAAATTTGGGTATTTTCCCCAGTTATATATATATAGATCAATGTTAAAACTTTAGGCAATTACAATAAAATTCCATTTTTCACAAGAATTTGCAATATATTATACAGAAAGCCAACAATAGAAACAGCACTTCTTTAAGCTTCTGAAGTTCGGAAAGAGTTCCACTTGTGTTTTATTTCAATTAGAAAATACATTGAACTCTTTGGACATGTTGGAAATTATAACATTGATACAAAAAATTATATTGGTTTTTTTTTCTTATTTTTGTGTTGTTCGGTTGCTGTCTCATTTTTATATATGGTTATACATATATCCTAAATCTTCTTTTTTATATACTTAATCATTAATACACAATGTAGTAAAAATGGGATATTTTTTATTTTGATAATCTCAAAACATTATTATTCTATCAAATAACTTATTTCCAAGTTCACAAAACACCAATGTGTCAGATATTAATTTTAAGACATGTATAAACATGATCAACAAGCAGTTGACAGGATGTCATGCAAAAATCTCACTAATATTAAACTTTCACAAAAACTCCATACTCAGCGAGTACTATTAAAGTTCTTAGTACAGGACAAATTCCTAGTACAGGACACAATGCCTGGCAAACACTAGCATGTGTCAATGTCTAGTCAATCATGTAATCAGGCTCAAAATCTTAGTTTGGCACTGAATTTAAAAATTCACCACATAATGAACATGTGCATGAAATTCAACTTCATGGTAAGCTATGTACCTTAACCTAAGAATGTACTATAATTTCACATGATGACATATGTTCAGTGATCCATAAAATCAGGGTAAAAACAGTAAATGTGGTGTTTAATGTATACACAAGAGTGCACACGCTGAAATGTTGCGCCTTCTTTACTAATCATTGATATCATGTTGATAGTCCTAAATATAAAGCTTTACTACAACTATCACATAAACTCAACATGATCCAAGAAAATCAATTCAAGGTCATATAAACCTGACAAGAAATATATGTACACCTTACAATCATTCAAATTACTAAATACAGTTGACCTACCGGTATTGCTTATAGTTTCTAAGAAGCAGACTTAACCAAGAAAACTAAACATTGACCAATGAACCATGGAAATGAGGTGAAGATCAGATGAACCATGCCAGGCAGACATGTACAGCTTACAATCCTTCCATACAACACATATAGTTGACCTATTGCTTATAGATTAAGAAAAACAGACCAAAACACAAAAACTTAACACTGAGCAATGAACCGTGAAAATAAGGTCAAGGTCAAATTAAACCTGCGGGACTGACATGTACATCATAAAATGTTTCCATACACCAAATATAGTTGACCTATTGCATTTAGTGTAAGAAAAAAAGACCAAAACTCAAAAATTTAACTTTGACTACTGAACCATGAAAATGAGGTCATGGTCAGATGACACCTGCCAGCTAGACATGTACACCTTACAATCATTCCATACACCAAATATAGTAGACCTATTGCATACAGTATAAGAAAAACAGACCAAAACACAAAAACTTAACTATAACTACTGAACCATGAAAATGAGGTCAAGGTCAGATGACACCTGCCAGTTGGTCATGTACACCTTACAGTCCTTCCATACATCGAATATACTAGACCTATTGCTTATAGTATCTGAGATATGGACTTGACCACCAAAACTTAACCTTAAATATAAAATAGAAGATGTGGTATGATTGCCAATGAGACAACAACTCTACACAAGAGACCAAATGACACAGAAATTAACAACTATAGGTCACCGTACGGCCTTCAACAATGAGCAAAGCCCATACCGCACAGTCAGCTATAAAAGGCCCCGAAATGACAATGTAAAACAATTCAAACGAAAAACTAACAGCCTAATTTATGTACAAAAAATGAACGAAAAACAAATATGTAACACATAAACAAACGACAACCACTGAATTACAGGCTCCTGACTTGGGACAGGCACATACATACAGAATGTGGCGGGGTTAAACATGTTAGCGGGATCCAAACCCTCCCCCTAACCTGGGACAGTGGTGTAACAGTACAACATAAGAACGAACAATAATAAAATGCTCCGCTGGGGCGCAGCTTGATACGACCGCAGAGGTCGAACCCTGAACAGTTGGGGCAAGTATGGACACAACATTCAAGCTTGATACAGCTCTGAATTTGGATTGTGATTAAATATTTGACACAGCATAGGTTTCTGACACAGAATGAATGTGGTCTAAGAACTTAAAAAATTTTAATTTACCTATTCAAACCATATCATAATTATTTGCTTTTATATATAAATCAGAAATAACCAATTTAAAATGGAAAATTTTAAAGAAAAAAAAAGGAAAAAAAAATCCCCCCCCAAATTTTTTGAACCCCCTTATGATTTATCACCCCAAAACTCAATAACAGCCTTCCCTTTGTGGTATGGAACCTTGAAGTACAATTTCAGAGAGATTCATACACTTGAACACAAGTTATTGTCTGGAAACTAGAAAAATGCTTGTTTTTTGGTCCCTTTTTGGCCCCAAATTCCTAAACGTTTAGGGTAATTACCCCCAAACTCAAACCCAGCTTTCCCTTTGTGATATGGAACCTTGTAGTACAATTTCATAAAGATCTATACACTTACACACAAGTTATTGTCCTGAAACTAGAAAAATGCTTGTTTTTTGCCCCTTTTTGGCCCCTAATTCCTAAAATTTTGAGGCAATTACCCCCCAAATCAATCCCAGCCTTCCCTTAGTGGTATGGTACCTTGCAGTACAATTTCAGAGAGATCCATACACTTGAACACAAGTTATTGTCTGGAAACTAGAAAAATGCTTATTTTTGGCCCCTTTTTCCTAAACGTTTTGGGCAATTACCCCCAAACTCAATTCCAGCTTTCTCTTTGTGATATGGAACCTTGTAGTACAAATTCAGAAAGATCCATACACTTACACACAAGTTATTGTCATGAAACTAGAAAAATGCTTGTTTTTTGCCCCTTTTTTGGCCCCTAATTCCTAATATTTTGAGGCAATTACCCCCCAAAATCAATCCCAGCACTCCCTTTGTGATATGGAACCTTGTGGTACAATGTCAGAGATCCATACACTAACACACAAGTTATGTCTGGAAGTTTCAAAAATACTTATTTTTGGCCCCTTTTTGGCCCCTAATTCCTTAACTGTTGGTACCATAACCCCCAAAATCAATCCCAACCTTTCTTTTGTGGTATTGAACCTTATGGTAAAATTTCATAGAGATCCATTCACTTAAACTAAAGTAAGAGTGCGAAAACCAATGTGTCTTCGGACGACGACGACGACGCCAACATCATACCAATATACGACCGCAAAAAAAATCAGTTGAAAGAGGCTTAACTCATCAGATGGATAAAAATACAAATACTACAAATACAAGTGGACGTGGCCGGGTACTTGTACATCCAAACAACAAAAAGACACTAAGTACAGATCTGAGAGTACTCGCAGTTACTGACAGCTAGTACAAAGCCACTAACAACTAATAAAAAAAATCATGCATCTAAGACTAAGTTCTTGTTCACTGATCCATGAAATGAGGTCTAGGTCAAGTGAAAACTCTCTGACGAGCATGAGGACCTTGCAAGGTACGCACATACCAAATATAGTTATCCTATTACTCATAATATGAGAGAAATTAACATTACAAAAAATCTGAACTTTTTTTTCAAGTAGTCACTGAACCATGAAAATGAGGTCAAGGACAATGGACATGTTTCAGACAGAATTCGTATCATGAGGCATCTATATACAAAGTATGAAGCATCCAGGTCTTCCACCTTCTAAAATATAAAGCTTTTAGGAAGTTAGCTAACGCCCACTGCTAACGCCACCACCGTAACCGCCACCGGATCACTATCCCTATGTCGAGCTTTCTGCGACAAAAGTTGCAGGCTCGACAAAAATACATGAACATTTTAAAGTACTAAATTTTGAGTATATACATGTAAAACCACAAGTTACTAACTGAAGTTCATGGTGAACTGTAACCAAAAACTTAAAGTGAATACAATTTAGAGAAAGACAGATGGATGCACAAACACTATCATAACAGAGCATAAAACTTACCAAACAAGATGTTTTACATTTATCCTTCAGAAGCAGGAAAACTGAAGTGTTTCTTTTCTTTCTCTGCCCTCCATGATATAAACTTCAAATTCATTCATGCAAAATATGAAAATCTGCAAAAGTAGGACCTTGTACCGCAGCTTATCCACATTTTGACTTTTGAACTGCATTGTTCATTTCATCTTGCTGGCAACCTAAACATAAAAAAAAATGATAAACACATAATTCTGGATTAACTTTCTGTATTTATTTTTGTTGGTACAAACAATTTTTTCCAACTTTAAACTAAATCTGCCTCTGCTTTAAAAAACAACTGAAAACCATGTATTTATCTTGATTGAAAACAATTTCTTGAGTTTTTCTCATTTGTATCACCCTGTTATTATATATAAATTTTACTTTTGTCCCTTTTTAAAAATAGGAATGGTTCAAATTCCTCAATAATCATGATAATTCTAGTCAGTCAATTAAAAATGTATAAATAAATTATTTAACCTGTATACTATTAATATCAATATATTTCATTTTTGATAAAAACTAGGCTCTGTGTTGAAGACCATACCTTGACCTATAATGGTTTACTTTTATAAATTGTGTGACTTGGATGGAGAGTTGTCTCATTGGCACTCATACCACATCTTCCTATATCTACAAACAGATTCTATGGGCGAGCAGACATTATACCCTGGAGGTGGTTTTAAAAAAAGCATACGACTTAGATGTACCATAAGCATGGAAAAACAATTCAGCAGTCAGTTTCACAAAAAAACTTACAAATAATATTGATAGTAATTAAGTCATGTACAATACAGTATACTTACGATAAATTGTAAGTTTTTTTTTTTTGTAAAACCGACTCAAGTATACTTATAATCAATCTTAGTCGTAAGTATTAATTATTACATTGGTAGCATTGGATTACATTGATTTCCCAGTCAAATAAAAACCGATAATTTAACATGTGAAATAAACGTGGTTATTTCACTCTCTGACGTCATACAACAATAGTTGTCAAGACGTTGATAACGTCGGATCAAAACAAATTGTGAATGCGTAGAAAAAAGATATAGTTCCTTACATTTTCTACATTAATTTCAGTAAAAAAAGCCATTTGCCAATGTAATAAAAAGAATAACTAATCAAAGAATTAATGTGTTGTTCGGTCATTCGTTGAATATTTTTCTCTATTTGAATTCTTCGATTAGTTATTCTATAAGTATTATTCATCTTTTGGATAATTTGTTGGTTTATTTTATGAATATACAGTGGCAGATCCAGAACTTTTCATAATGGAGGGCCGGCTCCAGTCATGCTTCAGTGATCCCTATATAATCAACCAAATTTTTTCCAAGAAAGCCCCCCCCCCCCCCCCCCCCCCCCCTCATTTGGGAAACTTACAAGTTCACAGCATGCCGGTGCCTGTGACTGTGTTCAAAGTGGTGGGTTTTCACCCTCTTTGTATTGCGGAATAACGATTTAGGCAAATTGAGAAAAACATCATGTCTGTGGTTGATAATAGTGTGTGTGCATTAATTTAATTTTCTATACCTTCTTATTTAATATTTTTCCAATTTTGAGTACTGACGGCAAGTGTTGTAACCAATGTCTTGAGACCAATGTGCTATTTACAAGTGCGATCGAGAAATGCAGGGGAAAGAAACTTATCAATTATGTTTATTCTTAAGACAAAACTGAGCCGCCGTAAAAATGAACCGTGTCGAGGAGGTTACTGACACGTAATAGGGCAGAGACATATTTACACATATGTGTATATATGTCTCTGTAATAGGGTCATCCCTCGAGAACATTAACTAGTACATTGATAGTTTACTATGCAGTCAGTATCCCGTATGGATGCAAAACGCTTAGTGGTTTCGGCTGACTACTAATACGTGCACTTTGTCTAAAAAATATCCCGGCAGCGTCACAGTTGAAGTCAGGATCTTGGGGGGGGGGGGGGGGTCTTCTTTTTCTGTGTTCTTTTTTTTTTTTTTTGCTATATTTCTACAAACTTACACTTTTTGCTCATTACTCTCTTTCCTCATATTTTAGCATTTCATTATTCTTTAATCTTTATTGTTTGCCCGTTATTCTCTATTCTGTTAACCCCCATCCATACTTAAGCTTTCGGTAGTTTATTTTATCCTATTTCTGTCTAAATACATTATTTATCACAAAACAAAAAGTTACTAAATATTTTTTTATGAAGTCCTCACCAGTTGCGGATCCAAAAAATGTCATAAGGAGGCACTAACTGTCATGCATAAAGAGGGGGCCCGCTTCATTGATTCTCTAAATAATCAACCAATTTTTTTCCAAAAAAGGGGCGGCCCCCCATGCCCTCACCTTAATCCACCTCTAAACCCTTCCCACTTCGTATCCTTGAATTCAGATTCAAGATCTCTCTGACTAAAGTAAGTAAGTAAGTCACATTTGCTTATATCAGGTTTTTGAATTGATAGTTGTTTCATTACCAATCGTACCACATCTCCTTATTTATATATATACGAAAGCTTTATTCATATTTTTTGGTGTATTGATGAATGTGTAAAGATGCAGCAATTGTAATACATTTTAAAATACAGCACAAGAGATGCAGATTATATAAAACCAATCTCACTATACAAATCCTTGATAAAACTTATAAGTCGAAGACATACTGACAAACGCCATGGCAAAAACTTAAAAACGACCAAATGACGTACAACAGTATATAAAACTTGACTATAGCATTTAAAACACATAAGAAGCACCCAGACAGTCAAACAGAAATTAAAAGAATAAATAATTTGTAAAGATTTTCAACTAGGCCTACAGCTATATTTTCTTATCGTGTAACAGTAGGCTAAACATAGGTTCTGGTATTATGTGATAAGTCATTTTTTCATGCAGACCCAGTTTTATTGATACCTTGAACTTAAAGTGGTTTTATGCATATCAGCCCAGATTTGTGTGTGTAATTTTATTGAACAATTCAACAATACACGTTCTAAACAGGTTAAATTCAATTTAAAAATTTACAAATTCAGATCTACTGGCATTCAACACCCAATTACTTACTTGCTGTATATTGCTAACTTTGATTGTATATTGTCAATCCCTCCACATCGTGAATACGCCATGCGAGGTGTTGGATAAGTTTGATACAGGGTGGCGGCTTCGAAGCGTAGAAAAAAATCCAGGTAAATGAAAGTGTAAAATTGTGTTGTTGAAAATTTTAAGTACTAAATTCCTAAATTTGTACTTAACTCCGTTCTACGGGTAACATGGTTGTTTGATATGAAAATAGGATAAAAAGCATCCGGAAAAATTAATTATCACGTTATAAGTATTCGTAAATGGATATGAAAAAACTTAACAAGGAATAAGTATTGGTAAACGGACAGAAAGTCGCAGGACAACGCTTTAGATTAATTATTTTACAATTGTTTAAATATATGAGAGAAAGTTCTTGACGAATTGACTTTATTTATAGATAAATGTATTTAGTTGAGGAAATGATTAATTCGCCTTCAAATAGTTTTTTTTTATCAATAACTTATAAAAAGGAGACATTTTTGACAGCATGACTTCAGTTAATTACCAAACCACTTTTGCAGATTGTTTTCTTAACAATCATTGTTCATATTAATATTCAAAAATAAATTTTGTTTACAAGTCCGTTTCCTTTTAAAAATGTTTCAGAAAAATACTGAAACGTTTTTAAAATTAAGTTTATTCTAAGAAAAAAATATCCCAAAACTGAATCGTGACTTTTTACTTGTTACTTTTTGTTGTACGTTCTAAGTGTCAATCCTAGCAAACAAAAATTTGGAAATAAAATCGATTACAATGTAATTTTATAGAAGGAAAAAGGGGGGTTAATGAACAAATTATTACTATACACTCACATACTTCTAAAAAGATTTGCATATGTAAGCTGTCTATAGATAATGTTAAATTATTTCTGATCAGGAGTTTCAATTAATTTAGGAGAAAAAAAAGATTATAAACAGTTTAGTTTTCAACGCCTACTACTACAAAAAAATAGTGATTCTTTTTGTAGATTTGGTACTTCAGTTTCGACTCGAAATTTCCTATTGTAATTGTTAGATGCCAAATATTTAGGAGAAGATTGTATTTGTACTTTATGTAATTGTGGTGATATTGGCGACGCGATTCATTATATTATAGCAAGGATTTGTAAAAATCCTTGATTATAGAATGTTCGGCAATAGACGAAAGTAGACAAACCCTATTTAAACGGGGTTTTGATCTCCAAGGACGCCACATTTTACATCGAATAAGATCTATATTTGTTAACGTTTTCAAATGAAATAACTTGAATTGAAAATTTCCCGACTATGTGAAGATTTCTTATATTTCTAAATGGCTTCAATTATTACATACAAAGCGAAAAAATTATATAACTTTTTTTGTAAAAACAATATTCATGTATTTTTATATTTTTTCCAAGGAAACGTTTTTTTTTGTTTGTTTGCAAAGTTTACTTGTATGTGTTTATAACCATCACCAATCAGTCCCAATTATTAAAGATCAAACGTTGTAATCAAAATGATGATTGGTATTGAATATGATCATCGGTCATACATGACATATCCCAAATAACTTCTTTAATGTTGGTTTAATTTTATCAAAACCAAAATTATAAGATCAAATATTAAATTATCTATCGAATGTATACCCTTAACGCTCACTAAAACATATATACATGTCCTGAGTGACTTTTTATGTCGTGTCTGCACTCAGGAGGTCCTGAGCGGTTTTTAGACGTACCGTTAATTAACAGGCATATATTTGAAGCTGTTCTTAATTATGTACATTATCTATAGGTATACATGTATCAGACAAAAAGACTTTCCAATGAACTTAGTTCTAGTTATCTTAGTTCCTAGTCACAGGCACTTGTCTCAGAAAAAAAATGTCCTATATACTTTAAATGTTATATTAAGCAGGGACTTTCTATACTAAGTTAGTATAGAAAGTCCCTGTATTAAGGTATGTAGGAAACAAAATTCTGAGACAAGTGCCTGTGGTCCTAGTGTGAAATAAATCCACTGGGAATTGGCCTTTTTAAACACATCTATATTTACGTTTTCTCAAGGGTTTGTACATGTAAAGTGAAATTATGTTTACTCAATGCGTAGTTACATAAGTTTATTTGCTACTTTTTTCTTCTTTATTTTATATAAATGATTTTTTTTTTAAATTTTAACATTTTTTTCTTCGAAAGAATTGTAGTGTTGCAATAGGGAATGGACACAGATACTTAACTACATTTAACGAAAAAAAAAATGTGTAATGTCATCAATCTGTATTACACATAGACAGGATGTTCTCTAGAAAACTATGATATTTCTAATACGTTATACACACCCCAGGGTAAACGCACTGTCGTAATGGAATATTACTGCATGCTTTAATTACCTGTAATCAGCCATGCAACAAATCAGTTGACTGACCATGTCATTACAGTTTAAAAAGTTTTTCCTCAGATCAAAACGGAATATTCATTTTAACTTTAAAATTTAAAACTTTAAAAAGTAAACTTTGATATAATTATGACGTAAAAGAATTTAACAATTTAATAATCGGATTTTCCCAAAGATTAATATACAATTATATTTATTATTCTGGGACTGACAGATATATCACAGGCACTTGTATCAGAATTTTTTTCCTATATACTTTTATTAAAGTATATAGGATTTTTTTTTCTGAGACAAGTGCCTGTGAGATATATACATGCATAAGTCCCAGACATATATAATTGTAAATCAAAATGATTTACATAATTACTGGGAAATAATATTATGTTTCAGTTATGTTGATGTCACAAATACACATGAATTATTTGATGATGCATGCTGGAATTTCTTATCTAACTGCATGACGGTGACCACAGACATATATATATATCCATTTACTAATTCTATAATTTCTTGAGAAAAAAAATCAGGAGGGAAGTCAGAGGGAAGTGAAACAAACATTTTAAGCTTTTATTAAAAATTGTTGGGAAAACAATAAAATACGACACTGAGTTTTGAAAAAAAAGTTCATGATTGGTCTTAATTTTTTTTTTTGATAAAGATAGAAACAATTTTTTGTCCCAAGAAAAAAACACAATGCCCCCTTTTTAGCCAAACCGACACACGCCGATGAATGAAGAATTCCAAGTAGGGTCACAAGGTCACATTTTAAAACTTTTTCAGTCGCCCAGTCTCAAAAAGCAATTTTGACTGGCATTGTTTTTAGTCGAATTATGTTTTTGCAGGTCAGGTTGCAAAGTGGCAGGTCGCGATCGGATTTGACAATGTCAAGTTGACAACGGTCCTAAAAAATATCCGAAAAAACGTTGAATCAAACGATATGAACCTACGCAGTTTTATATTATAAGACTGACACACACCAGTGTGCTAACTGTGCTGGGTGAGGTGCTGTAACTTGATATACATGTATCATTAAGTTACAGTACTGTTAGGATTTGCCTGCCTTTTTACAGGGTCTTTCTATACTAACTGTTAATATAGACTGCCCCTGGCTTGAAAGTATGGTTCTCTGCTCATCAACGGGTGCGTGATTAGCAATTTAAATATCTTGTAGCAGTAAAAAACCTCCGGGGGGTGGGGGGGGGGTGGGGTGGAGGGGCACTTCAATACTTAATTGATAGGGGGTGTCGCTGGGGTTCTGTTACCCCACCCTATTCATATAATTTAGATCTTAAAAATGTATTATACCTTTTCATATATTGGGAGGGTAACTTGAAATTGTAACCTTTTCCCATATTGGTTGGTTTTCGTGGGGTGTGTTGGAAAAGTGGAATATTTAAGGCTAAGATTCTATATGTAATGTTTACTTACGGCGAGACTTTCGGCTGTTAAAAAATGACAGGGCTTTTCATATACAAGTAACTGGAACTTTATCGACCTTATCATATATTTCTGATAGTTTTCCCCACCTATTCCCATATTTTCAAGCTGGAAAAGTGACCTATTCCAGCGGCACGTCATATCACCTTGTATATAGGAAGTGCCCCCCCCCCCCCCCCCCCACCCGAGTAAAATACACAAATGTATAATACCTTAATTCAGGAGCACAGTCTGTCTTTACCGTAAAAAACTTCGAGATTAATATGTAAGTTTACTTTGCTAATCGATGTTCCTGTAATTCAGATTTAAATTTATTTGTGAGACCCCGTCACTATTTATATTCAATCAAAGAAAGGGGTTCTCCGTTACTGGGAAAATCCAAGGACGTATTGTGTTAGTTATACGTCCTTGGAAAATCTTATCTGATTTAGGATCAATTTATCGGTTACACTCCCCTATCACCAGTGATTCTTTGTGAACTGACATTCTGAAAAAGGTATACTGTTGACTATCAATTTGCATGATTAGTTACAGATGTCGACTCGGACTACTGCAGAACACAATAATTCAGTTCACTGATTTAGATTGAATAGTGGTTCGGTTAATCCCCTCTTCCCCAAACAAGTAAGAATTAGGTTACATCTTTTGGTAGTCCAAATAATTATGACGTCTAGCAAGGCTATTTTATTTTTTTTATGCCCCCGCCGTAGGGGTGGGGGCATTAAGTTTTACCCTTGTCCGTCTGTACGTACATACGTCCGTACGTCCCAAAATTGGTTTCCGTTCTCTAACTTGAGTTTGCCTCAACCAAATGTTAAAGTAAAAACTTATACACAATGCTTATTACCACAAAACACAGATCAAGTTTGAATTTTGGTGGCGTCACTTTAACCGTTCTAGAGTTATGCCCCTTTATGAATGGAAAAATTGCAAAATTTTTAGTTTCCGTTCTCTAACTTAAGTTTGCCTCAACCAAATGTTATAAAACTTATACACAATGCTTATTACCACAAAACACAGATCAAGTTTGAATTTTGGTGGCGTCACTTTAACCCGTTCTAGAGTCATGCCCCTTTATAAATGGAAAAATTGCAAAAATTTTATTTTCTTCTAAATATCAAGTAATTTTTAAAATTGGAATTATCTCCCTTTGTCCATTATTGTAGTTGAATCAACGACAATCAATGCTTTATACATTGCAATGTTTAATTTTGACTTCCACTGATAAAACACAGATCAAGTTGAATTTGGGTAGTGTCACTTTAACCATTATTGAGTTATGCCCCTTTATAAATTGAACGATTGCAAATTTTTAGTTTCCATTCTGTAACTTAAGTTTGCCTCAACCAATCATTATGAAACCTATACCCAATATTCATTACCACAAAACTAAGATCAAGTACAAATTTTTTGTTTCCGTTTTCTAACTTTAGTTTGCCTCAACCAAATGTTATGAAACTTATACACAATGCTTATTACTACATAATACAGATTAAGTACGAAATTAGGTGGCGACAAATTACCATTCTTGAGTAATGTCCCTTTATAAACATAAAAATTGCTGAATTTTTCATTTCCGTTATCTAACTTTAGTTTGTCTCAACCAAATGTTATAAAACTTATACACAACCGTTCTAGAGTTATGCGTGTTTACAAATAGAAAAATTGCTGAATTTTTAGTTTCTGTTCTCTACTTAAGTTAGCCTCAACCAAATGTTATGAGACTTACACACAATGCTTATTACCACAAAACTCAGATCAAGTTCAAATTTGGGTAGCGTCACTTTTACCGTTCTTCAGTTATGTCCCTTTATAATTTTTCTATCTATCTATCTTCATATTTCCGCACTCAGTCACAACTTTGACTATTACGTGCCCAGAAAAAAGTTAAAATAGCCTTGCAAGACGTCATAATTATTTGGACTAATCTTTTGGCAAATATGGTCGTACCACAGGGGTTTGTTACAATTTGCCAGGTTTTCTATCCTTACGAACCCTGAAAAACTTACCAGGCCAGGTGATAAAAAGTCTGTCTCCCCTTTTTATCCCACCAGAAAATCAAAAGGTTGTCTCCTTACACCTACATGACAAAAACATATACAAATATGGTATCATTGCCAATGTGACGGCTCTTCAACAGAAACTAAAAACGTAGAAGTTAACAACTATATAGGTCACCGTACAGATTTCAACAATGGGCTACAAAGCCAAACTGCGTAATAAGCTACAAAAGGCTAAAATAGATAGACAATATCTGACAAGGGTAGAAATATTCAGAATGTTGAAAAAAAAATCTACTGTCCATTTGCATCAAAACTAACAGCTGACTCATAGGAGTTGTTGCCTTAAATACAGATTTTAACCTTTTTTTTTTCTTCATATTTCTTGAATTTGCCTTTTTATCTCGAAAACTGTAATAATTAAAGAGAAACTTAAATCTTATTAAAAAGTTATTGCTTTTCAATGATGATTTTGATCCAGTTTTTGCAAAAACTTGGAAACTTTAAATCTTGGGTAAACTCCTTATATTATACTGCCTGGTCTCGTGGTAGCATGTTCACCTCACGTGCAGAAGGTTGTTTATTTGAACCCAACTGGGTAAAACCAAAGACTTTAAAGTTGGTATTTGCTGCTTCTCCCCTAAGCACGCAGTATTATTAAGGAGTAAGAGCAAATACTGGTTTGTTCAGAGTCAGAATAATGTGTCAAGGTAAGGTGACATGTCTCTCTAAGAACGAGTGTAAGAGATAAATTGTCTGGTCAGACAAATATAACTAGTATAAAAAGTCCATGGATACAGAATTTACTAGTATATTTAGTCCGATGTCAGTAATTTATGTCCCCAGACTAATTTTCCTAGTCCATGACATCACTATTCCTAGGTAATAACATGAATAAGGCCCCTATATTTGGTGAATGGAATTGTTGTGAGATGCACAGTCTGTCTGGCATGTTTTATATGACCTTGACCTCATTTTAATGGTTCATTGGTCAATGAAAAGTTTGCATTGTTTTGTCAGTTTATCATATGCTTTAAGCAACAGGTAAATTATATTTGGCGGATGTAACGATTGTAAGGTGTGCATGTCTGTCTGGCAGATTCATATAACCATGATCGCATTTTATGGTTCTTTGGTCAATGCTAAGTTTTCTTAGTTTTTTATACAATCATATATTGGTATGACGTTGGCGTTGTCGTCGTCCGAAGACACATTGGTTTTCGCACTCCAACTTTAGTTTAAGTGAATGGATCTCTATGAAATTTTACCTTAAGGATTGATTTTCGGGGTTATGGTACCAACTTAAGGAATTAGGGGCCAAAAATAAGCATTTTTGTAACTTCCAGACATAACTTGTGTGTTAGTGTATGGATCTCTCTGACATTGTACCACAAGGATCCATATCACACAGGGAATGCTGGGATTGATTTTGGGGGTAATTGCCTCAAAATATTAGGAATTAGGGGCCAAAAAAAGGGGCAAAAAACAAGCATTTTTCTAGTTTCATGACAATAACTTGTGTGTAAGTGTATGGATCTTTCTGAAATTGTACTACAAGGTTCCATATCATAAAGGGAAAGCTGGAATTGAGTTTGGGGGTAATTGCCCAAAACGTTTAGGAATAAGGGGCCAAAAATAAGCATTTTTCTAGTTTCCAGACAATAACTTGTGTTCAAGTTTAAGGATCTCTCTGAAATTGTACTGCAAGGTACCATACCACAAAGGGAAGGCTGGGATTGATTTTGGGGGCAATTGCTTTAAAATTTTAGGAATTAGGGGCCAAAAAAGGGGCAAAAAACAAGAATTTTTCTAGTTTCATGACAATAACTTGTGTGTAAGTGTATTGATCTTTCTAAAATTGTACTACAAGGTTCCATATCACAAAGGGAAAGCTGGAATTGAGTTTGGGAGTAATTGCCCAAAATGTTTAGCAAAAAGGGGCCAAAAATAAGCATTTTTCTAGTTTCCAGACAATAACTTGTGTTCAAGTGTATGGATCTCTCTGAAATTGTACTGCAAGGTACCATACCACAAAGGGAAGGCTGGGATTGATTTTGGGGGTAATTGCCTCAAAATTTTAGGAATAAGGGGCCAAAAAGGGGCAAAAAACAAGCATTTTTCTAGTTTCAGGACAATAACTTGTGTGTAAGTGTATGGATCTTTATGAAATTGTACTACAAGGTTCCATATCACAAAGGGAAAGCTGGGTTTGAGTTTGGGGGTAATTGCCCTAAACGTTTAGGAATTTGGGGCCAAAAAGGGGCAAAAAAACCAAGCATTTTTCTAGTTTCCAGACAATAACTTGTGTATAAGTGTATGGATCTCTCTGAAATTGTACTGCAAGGTACCATACCACAAAGGGAAGGCTGGGATTGAGTTTGGGGTGATGAATCATAAGGGGGTTCAAAAAATGTGGGGGGGGGGGAATTTTTTCCCCCTTTTTTTCCTTTTTTTTTTCTTTAAAATTTTCTATTTTAAATTGGTTATTTCTGATTTATATATAAAAGCAAATAATAATGATATGGTTTGAATAGGTAAATTAAAAATTTTTAAGTTCTTAGACCACATTCATTCTGTGTCAGAAACCTATGCTGTGTCAAATATTTAATCACAATCCAAATTCAGTGCTGTATCAAGCTTGAATGTTGTGTCCATTCTTGCCCCAACTGTTCAGGGTTCGACCTCTGCGGTCGTATCAAGCTGCGCCCAGCGGAGCATTTTATTCATTTTATCAGATATTATAAGCATATGTTTACTTGTTGGTGTATGGAATGACTACAAGGTGTCATATAAAAATAAGAAGATGTCTGTCTGCCAAGTTTAATATTACTGTGACCTCATTTTCATAGAATATTGATAATATCAAGCAAAAATGATGAGCAAGACAAAATACAAATGATCCAAAATTGTCAGTTGCCTACTCATTATGTAATAGTAGTTATTGTCATTAAATGATAATGTTTACCCTTTTATGTGTAGGGCAAGAACATTAAAGATAAAGGGAAACTATAAACAAAAGAAATTATCAACAAAAATAGATTTACAGACGTCAACAAAGCCTAAATGGTAAGTCCACTTCTATAAAAGTTATTGCCCTTGAATAATGATTATTATGAAAATAAGATGTGGTATGATAAATGAGAAAACTATCCACCAGAGTTCAATTAAGTGGATGTAAGCAATGCAATTACTTATTAGAGGCCAATGATGACCTGTAAATAATGACAGGCAAAATATGGCAGGGTTGATATAAAAATAAGAAGCGGTACGGTTGCCAATGAGACTTTTCTCCAATAGAGATCAAATGACATTAAATTTAACAAAATTAGTTCACTGTACAGCCTTCGACAATGAGCAAACCCTTTACTGCATAGTAATCCATAAAAGGCCATGAAATAACAAATGTAAAACAATTCAATAAGGGCATGGCATCATTTAAAAAGGGCATGGTGTCTATCCATGCTAAACATGCTGGGGGAAACACCATAAAGGTGAAAGCTAAGTGCCTGATTTTTGCACAAAACAATAAACAAAAAACAAATATGATATATAGCAACAATTGACAACCACTGAATAATAGAACCCTGACTTGGGACAGACACTTACAAAATGTGGCATGGTTTAACATGTTTGCTGGCGCCAAATCCTCTAATTAAGGACAGTGGTGTAAGTGTCAGTTCAATATAAAAACTATAAAATCAGTTGAAAAGGGTTTTTTTCTGCTCTTGGGTCAGGTTATTTAAGGAATGACTATAATATTTTTTCTGTCTATGAAGAAATAACATCAAAAATGTGGTGCACACTGAATAACCCGCGTAGCGGGTTATTTTAAAGTGTGCACCACATTTTTTATGTTGTTTCGAATAGACAGAAAAAATATTACAGTAATTTCTTATAATTTAATTCTAAATTCCATTTTAAACCGGAGTAAACCATGAAAAAACGTTGATGACGTCACGGTCACATGACAAAATTATGTCTATGAGCTGATAAACAAAACAACGTCAGCCAATCAGAAGACGCGTTACATCCAAAATTAAATTATTTTGATACATTCCCGTTTTCATTCTCAATTTTATCAACTCATTAGAATGCAACAAAGCAGAAAAACAGCTACCAAAAACACAGACCGGATGTGGCTGGAAATTTATTCTTTCCCTTTAACAAAAAAGACTCAACATACAGATCTATTAGTACTCACAGTTACTGACAGCTAATTCAAAGCAAATATCAACTAATAAAATAAACATTTAGTGAGCACCCAACCCACCCCTAACCTGGGACAGTGGTTTTAATAACAGCACAACATTTGAACAAACTGTAAACATTTGTTGCAATTGACTTAACTCAAAAGACTGCAACAAGGCACAAAAAACAACTAATATGAAAACCATAGACACAAAGCACTGAAATAAGAGTTCTTACAATTTTAAATATTCAAATGAAATTTTTATCAAAATGTACATAAACATGATAAAATAGCCATTTTATTGCTGTATTTCTCTTCATTTATAATTTTTGAGTTTTGTGTATTTGTAGGTCAGACATCTTGGTTTTCATGATCATCATTCAACAGGTCAATACTGAACAGCAAACTTAAAGTTGATATTTTTCTACATAGTGTGACTTTTTTATTAATTTGAAATGGAATGTGTTTTTTTTCCTACATAAGAGGAAATTTCAACATAATGACTATAAACAAAAAGGAGTCATATCATCATGATCATAGATGCTCAAGAACTTAATCATGTAAATGCAACAACGTAATTATCAATTGATAGAAGGGAGGAATGAAAAAATATATTAGTATTTTGTTGTCCAAATGAACTTGCTTTGTCCACTCATTTAAATCGCTCCATCCAATAAAGATGTACGGAGGAAGATTTTTGAAGAACAGATTTCATAAATGTTTTGTCTTAGAATTGTAGGAATATTCTAGTGGATGAAATAATTTATCTACTTGACTCTTATATAGTGGACTGAATAATTGTTCATAGCAAACTGAAACAAGAAAACTAAAACTTAACAGGAAAAGTGTTTATTTTATAAATTTACAAATATAAATGTAATATTATGAACACCACAAAGGAATATGATACAAATCATTTGCATATTCATGTATTGCAATGGAACTATAATAAAGAAAACTTTACCTCATGAAAAGAGTAAACTATTAACTGTGCTTTGTCAATTTATTCAGTCAGAATATGAAATATTTTTTTCAGTTCTATTTTGCATAATAAAACAAAGAAGACAAAGATTTCAAATCAATATTTTTTTCTTTTATTAAGACCTCATCATTTTATTTCAGTTAAAGGATTTTATTTTTTGACTTTAAATATTATTATATTTCCAAAAAATAATAATCTTTATTGTCATATAAACAAATTAAAAACATGTTTGTGACAAAATGAAAAAAACCAAAATACACTCATATATATATTATAAACTTTTTACTACCAAACAGAATTCATTGTAACATACACATTACTGTATATTTATAATTTGAATTCCATAGGATTTTATTTTATCCCATGGGATATTAAAAATCCCATGGGATAATTATAGTCCCATGGGATTGTTTTTGTCCCATGGGACAACAAATATTCCATGGGACTACAATTATCCCATGGGACCCAAAAAAATCCCATGGGATTTAACCAAAATCCCATGGGATATTGGTCAATCCCATGGGATTTGCCTTATCCCATGGGATATTGAAAATCCCATGTTTTTCTAAATCAAATTACAAAATATATATAATAATAACAGCAGAAAAGCAATGAAATTATTGAATCCCATGTAATTCCGCACATTTTGGTTATTTACACGACACTGTAGGTCTAAGGAGAGGCGGTGGCGGATTTGCAAATGAGTGTTTTGCAAATTAAAAGTGTCCAGTGTTAATAGGCCTTTTGCTTGAAATTAAGTTCCTGGTCAAAGTTCGATTTGACGCTCTACGTTTTGAACTTTGCATGTTATCGCTTTTCAACTGAAATTGTGAGAGACAAACAAAGAATGAATTGTTGGAGACGTTATGGTAAAAGATTTGATTAATTTGATTTTAACCTATCTGATGACATTAAAATGAGTTCTTGTCCCTGGAAAGTTAAATTTGAATTCTTGGTTAAATCTTCATACTGGTTCACGAAAGAGCCAAGTCGTTTATAATAGTTTGGTAGACATTTGATCTTGAAAAAAGTTCACCAGAAATGACACTGTGTAAACAAGAACTTTTCATTTGTGCAATTGTTTTATAAAAGAAGTATCAAGAAATCATATTTTTCTGGAATCAGTGTGAAAACACTGTTATGTGACACTCGAGTGACATTTTGTAAACTGGATGTAGCACATTATCAATCGATGTGTATATAAACAAAAACTGTTTGGGATTCGTGTTTAGTAAGATTTGGTGACGGCAGTGACTTTCGATAAACCGGAGTAGTCAATTGCTTCCTTTTTTCGTTAGAAAAGTACCACATCCTTTGCGTGTTTTTTATCAGTAGTAGAGAATTGATAAGAAGTAGTAGATTCGTAAACGATAATCAACGAGCGACTTTAGTCGCAAGTTGATTATGGATCATTATGGTTTCCGAATCCACTACTTCTTATCAATTCTCTAGCTTAACCCATTTCTAGTAAAACGACTGTCTGTTTTACGTTTTGACAATGAATCAACGATATTTCATAAAAATAGTTTCGTATTTTGTCTTTTTTATTCTATAATAGCTGGAAATGATTATATCCACACGGTTCGCATCTATATTTAGACATTTGACAAGTTAACATAAGTTTAAGATAACTTAAATGGGGTGTTAGCTCCCCTTTTTAACACCAGATTTTGTATATACATATTTCATTTAATGTTAAATCATTACAAATTATTTAAATTGAAAAGATTTTGGTATAATTAACTTATTCAAAAAGACATATATTAATATACAGAATTTATTTATCTTGTTTTGAAAAGTTAAAAAATTTTAATTACCAAAATTTAGAACCTTCAAAATATAAATATATAATATTTAGCAACACGATATGGTATGTTATGGTATGTTGAAGACTATACACCGTTAAGCCGTTCTTGTCCAATTAATTATCATTAGCGTTGATTCCATAAACACTGTGTATCATCGCCACCGGAAATTGGGTACTAACGAAGCGGAGAGAAATGGAAAAAAAAAGTAAACAAGGTAAGAATTCATTCAATTTAAAGCATTTCTACTGATTTTACGAGGGTACCGCTTAAGAAATGATTTTCTGATATATAATTCTTTAAATTATTAGGCCGATAAGTACAAAATTAAGACAAGATTTTGTGTTATACTCAAGAACTTGCCACTTAGTACCTGAAAATTTCGAGGTCGATCGTCCTCTGTCGCCCCATTGGCAAGATATTCGACTATTTTTCATTATTTTTCCAGACACTTTTTTAGATTATTATAGTGTGGCATCATATTTACTGAAATTTGTTGTCAAAATGAACGTTTATAATGAATATAGACCATAAAAAATAAAGTCTAGGGTACGGCAACTTGCTCATGTTCACAAATTTACTGTATGGCAACTTGTTTTCAACTGTATGGCAACTTGCTAATTTCAAAATATTTATTTGCCGTCTTTTTAAAGAAAATAAAGTATTAGGTTCAAATATCTAATTATGCATTTGATAAAAATACAATTCGCTTGACACCATTTAAGATGTATACACAATATAAGGCTTGAACACAGTCCTATTACATCTTTTACATACCTGATGTATACAATATGAATACGGCATATACAAAAGCTGGCAAATGTTGTAACTTTCGGAAAGGCATGTCACTGTTTTACTGACCTGTTGTTCTGCCCTGACGTAGAGTTAAATGTTACCCATGTCCGTCCGACCCGTCTCTCCCATCCGTTCAGAAAGTCCCAATAATTGGTTTCCGTTCTCTAACTTTAGTATGCCTTAACCAAATGTTTTAAAACTTACACGAAATGCTTATCACCACAAAACACAGATCAGGTTGTAAATTGGGTAGCGTCACTGTTACCGTTCTTGAGTTATGCCCTTTTATAAATGAAAAAAAGCTAAAGCTGTCGTTTCTGTTCTCAAACTTTAGATTGCCTCAACCAAATGTTTTAAGCATACAACATTAGTCAGCATTTGCATATAAGTGATGAACATTTCGGGGATGGGTTGTGGGTGGAGGGAAGGAAGGAGGTAATGGCAGGAGAATTTTTCCGCATTGAATATTTAGAACCATTAAGTGAATGAATTCTCTTTCAACTTTCAGATAAAATGAAATATAAATGAATTATCATTCTCTGCAAAAAAAAAATGTTGTGTATTGCTACACCACGGCACCATGTTAAGGGAGGTTTGAGTGCTCACAAACATGTTTAAGCCCGCCTCAATATATACGTGTCTGTCCCTGGTCAGGAACATGTAATATAGCGGCTGTCGTAAGTTGCTGCCTGACATATTTGTTTATGATTTTGTCATAAATCAGACAATTTTGATACGGTATGGGTTTTGTTCATTGTGAAGTGTATAGTAACCAATAGTTGGTCAAATCTATTTCATTTGGACTTTGTTTGAAAGTCCTCTGAGTGAAAACCATTCCACGTCTCCTTTTTCAATTAATGTTATTGTCTTATTTGTAAAAGGCAGATACAACCAATATTTTAGAATAAAGAACATTAATTTTCTAAAAAAAACACTTCATCTCTATATAGTAAGAAATGAACAAGCTCGGTGGCTAACACTGTTTAAAAGAGTAGGTCCGGTTAGTGCCGATTTTGGCCTCAAAATTCAGTTTCATCTGATGAAAGATATTGGACACTTTTTAAACACTTAAGTGTCTACTTCAATCGATTCAATTAGTTAATGTGAAAGATTTGAACTGATTTAGTCATTAAAGACGCTCAAACTCAAGCTTAAATATGAAAAATCTATTAAATGTGCCATAATATGTCACTTTTCAGATGGTTTTTGTCAAAAATGAAAGTGGCCGCATCCGTGTTCATTCTCAACCTTTATATATGTTATGTATTATCATCAAATATAACTTACATTTAAATATTAAGAATGAACACAAATGCGGCCACTTCCATTTCAGACGGAAACCGTCTAAAAATTAACCAAAATGCTAAAATTTCGAAGATTTCAGTAATTTACCATGACTTAATGATGCTAGTAGCCGATACATGTGCATTGTATAGTCAAAAACAGCCCATATTTATGTAACAGAAGTATTCTTCTTTCCAATAAATAGCTAAAAATTTACATTTTAACTGCTATATTTTGGGGCCAAAAAGAGGTCTTATTGGGCCTACTCCTTTAAAAAAATATTAACCTTAGAGTAATCACTTTTGGAAAGAATGAAAGAAGAATCCGATACAAGGCGGGATACAAATCTGGCTGTGGCTACGGCATAAACTATTTATATAAACTTTCTACTTGAGAATAAAGATGACCTTGTATGAAGTTTTTTTTGGTTGTCATCTTAATATTATATACTTATTAATACAATTCACAAAAGCTAGCCTCTTCGACTTGTAAGTTTAAAGAATTATAATGAAATAACATCTAATAAGGACAGGTTGAAATATTTTTGAATCCTGAAAGTGCATACTCATAAATTCTTTTGGAAAAATCCACGTAGATTTAAATGTTGATTTGATAGCGTTCATTTATTTATTTGCCCTCGTAAACAGTTTTGTTAAAATACCGAAATCGGTAAATTCTTATCGTGGACGAATAAGTCGGGTACACCTTTTTACATTCAGGCGTGCTTAAGTTGCATTTTTTCTTCGTATTAAGAAAAATGATTTTAATTTTAGCATCTATCTAAAGATTAGATTATTCACACACACACACACACACAAATAGGGCTTACTGTTGATTTTGAAACTCTATGAATTCACATGTATATTCAACCAAACAGATAGGCCGAGATCCATACCTTTATAAGATTCAAAACAGAGAAGGTGTGTTTGAAAACAAATAATCACGTACTGCTATATCTTTTAAGGCAAATGCAAGTCTTACTTGTATTACTTATATAATTTTAATTGGCACAATATCACATTAAAATTTAC